GCGACAAAACAAACGCACACCTGAAGTTCACTTTCTGAGAGTGTTTTGACGTCCCTTTCCACACAAACCCTTCGCACTTGACTGCTGCTGTGTAGGCTGGCACAGTCGTTCCCCTGGTTGCCCTGGCCAAATTTCAGAGTCTTCCTTTCGATTTTCCATATTGAGGTAAGTGAGACAGTTTCTGTTCTTGATGCGATCTCTTCTAACATGAGGTCAATCTACGCAGGTCTCTCCTACTTCCCAACCACATGAGCGCACAACCAGAAATTTTTTTTCTTTTTTTCTTTTTTTTTGGAGAGGTTTTTGCTATAGGACATGTACGCTCACCAGAAAGACAAAGAGAGACAGAAAGATAGAAAGCAAGAAATCACCCCGCCCCCAGGGAGGATGGCCACGCCACAATCCCTTCTCCTCCATTCTCTTCTAGGGATCTTGGGCACGCACGCACATGTGCCTGGCGTGAGTTTAAGACACCAGGTCTTGAACCGCAGTCAACTACATGGGAGTTCAGTGACATAGCCACTACACTAACTGCTGGACCCCAAATCAGAAATTTTTCTGACACTAAGATTTGCTGGATCTTCTTATTTTCTCTTGATTATGCCACCATTGTCTTTCAAGAAGACAACTGTGCCTGCAATCCTGGAGTCGTCTCTCTATCTTCGGTTTTCGGTTATTATAAACTGTGTTCTGACAGTGTCAGAGAACATGGCATAGAGTAATTGGCCCTTACTGAGGTGGCAACGATAGTCAGGATGAAGACTTTCTCTTGAATTTTTGTAAGATTATGCACTTGTGAGACAGAATGGAGAGGTTTTTGCTATAGGACATGTACGCTCACCAGAAAGACAAAGAGAGACAGAAAGATAGAAAGCAAGAAATCACCCCGCCCCCAGGGAGGATGGCCACGCCACAATCCCTTCTCCTCCATTCTCTTCTAGGGATCTTGGGCACGCACGCACATGTGCCTGGCGTGAGTTTAAGACACCAGGTCTTGAACCGCAGTCAACTACATGGGAGTTCAGTGACATAGCCACTACACTAACTGCTGGACCCCAAATCAGAAATTTTTCTGACACTAAGATTTGCTGGATCTTCTTATTTTCTCTTGATTATGCCACCATTGTCTTTCAAGAAGACAACTGTGCCTGCAATCCTGGAGTCGTCTCTCTATCTTCGGTTTTCGGTTATTATAAACTGTGTTCTGACAGTGTCAGAGAACATGGCATAGAGTAATTGGCCCTTACTGAGGTGGCAACGATAGTCAGGATGAAGACTTTCTCTTGAATTTTTGTAAGATTATGCACTTGTGAGACAGAAACCCTAAGCAGATTTGTGACAGAGCATGATGTGACAGAACTACTGGGGGGTGAGCTGGCCCTGCGACACCACACGGGATCCACGCAGACAGGCCTTGTGGCATCCCGAGGCCTCCCTGTGCACACGCACTGTGTGCACCTCTGCTCCTCCTACTGACACTGGGAGGAGACTGTGGCAGCAAGGCCCTGTGGAGAGTTCTTATCTGTTTCTATCAAAAGAAATGAATTAATTGGATAAAAGAGAGAAAAGACAATAATGCGCTGTGTGCTATATCTGCCCTTAGATTAGTAAAGAACTTGTTGATGCTTTTGTTTGGAAGGACAATGAAGGACTCTGTAGATAAAGGTGGCTTGAAGAAATATATCTGAAGCCATAGTTAGAATCTGAGTTCTGGAAACTGCCGAGCCATGAACTAGTTGAATCTCTTGAATCTCAGTATACTTTTTAAAAATGTATTTCTTCCCTGAGTAAGAGGGTGACAGAGAGAAAAGCAAAGGAGAGAGAAGGAGAGACAGCACCCCTAACAGAGTCTTCATGCTATACCCAGAGAGGACCATGGCTCACTTGCTTGATACATTCAGGGAGGTCTCTGGGCTTGAGCCAGGAACCTTCCATGCAGTATTACCTCACACCACTGTCTGGCCCCTTGCCATTGTCAACATAGAAAATGGGTCATTAGACTGTGATGAAGATCTCTTCTCATATTTAGATTCCAGTGTCCTAAGTATGCTTTGGTCTGAAGAACAGTATCTAGAAAGCAGATATTTATTTATGTTCTTCATCATATTAGTTCCAATCTGGACTGAATGAAAAATTATATTAGGCTTCAGGTGTTTCTCTGCCTTCCCAGCACTGCATTTCCACAGCACACTCACACGAGTTCAGAACTAATGACTGGTACTCCATACACTTGTGTGAGTAAAATGCTTACTTCCTCGCCCTTTGCTCTGCTTTCGTACTTTAATGCCTTGCAGCGAAGGATTACCTGTAAACTGTCCTTTCTCTGGGAGACTCCAGTTACTTCCCTGGTCAGTGTTGACAGTCCTTTTCCTGACTCCCAGGGAAATAAGTCACTCGATCCACTTGCGTTTCTGATCACTCTTTCTCTCTTGAAAACTCTCCATCTCCATGGCTTCATTCTGCATTGAGTACTAACTGCAAGCATCTTTCTTTACCAGGTTTCAGATCTCTGTCTTTTTATTATGTCCTGTGAACCCTCAAATTCAGCTTGTCCAAACAATGGTGTTGGAATTTTCTTCTGGCCAGTGTAATTATTCTGTTAAGAGACATGTTTTTACTCCCCTGTCTTCTTCATTCACTCATTCAGTCAGCTATTAGGTCCTGCGTATTTAAGTGCTTCGATACCAGACCTCCACTGCTTACCTCGGTGGCCCTCACTTTAGAACTAGATCTATCTCCTCTCGCCTGAATGATCCACATCACCTAGCTTCCCCGTCTCACTCTGTGCCCTCACTTTAGAGCTAGATCTACGCCCTCTCACCTGAATGATCCGCATGGCTTAGCTTCCCCATCTCACTCTTCCTCCTCATTTCAACCCTCCTGCGGGATTCAGCCTCCGAGTCCGAGCCCTGACTGCACTCCCACACACCCATGCAGGGAATCCCCGGGGAAACATCCAGACACCGAGGTCAGTACTGGAGGCCCTGCCTGCTGCGGATGAGACCACGTTTTCTGGCTGTGGTTACGATGCTCCTTTTTTTATGTTTCAGCTTCTTGTAGAACATGTACTAAACTTTTTTTTTTTTTGAGAGGTTTTTGCTATAGGGCACGTGTGCTCGCCAGAAAGACAGAGATAGAAAGCAAGAAATCACCCCCCAGGGGGGATGGCCACGCCGCAATTCCTTCTCCTCCATTCTGCTCTTGGGATCTTGGGCACGCACACACGCGCGCCCGGCATGAGTTTAAGCCACTGGGGTCTAGGATGCAAACCACGGTGACTAAGTAGGAGTCCAGGGACATAGCCATTATGCTAACTGCTGGTCCCTAAGCTTTCTTTTATTTGCTAATGTCTGTGGCCTCCAGACCACTGAGACTACATTCTTTCCCATGAAGACCACCACCAACTGTGCCCTTTGGACCATACATTCTCCAGTGTCCCTTTCAAATGCAGTTAATTCTATAAAATCCTCCAGACCATCATAGTAAAATATGATCTATTTTTAGAACGTCCTACCTTTCTTGAAACATGTATTCTAATTTTATTTGTAGGGTCCTTATAATACGTTTGTCGTATCTCCATCATTTTGCAGCTTACGCATGCAGGCTGTCTTTGGTAGCCTCGGATATTGTGAAAGACCTAGCCCAGGATCAGAATATCACTGCTATACAGTTAACAAACTAAGCCGACTGGGACTTTCTGATTTTACTGAATTGTTCTAACTTACTCAGTAGATCAAGTCAGGGCCAGTAAAATCAATAAACTATAGTGAGACCAGATTAGATCTGGTCTGAGGAACCAAAGTTTAGAAGTATAAACTGTTTCTCTTATGTGAGGGGGTCTTGAAAATTTCACAGAAAATGAGCGTTATGAAAAAATATGCCTGGATTTCAAAATTTTGTTACACCAAAATAATTTTGAACATTTTGAAGTGCCTACATACTAAAATATTTTAAAAAGTCACTAAATTGGAAGGTTTTGAGTCAAATTATCTTGCTCTGAGAAACATCCCAAACCCTTAGTTTACTTTACCGTCTTGAGGCTCAGTCTCCCTGTCTGTGATAAAACAATAATGCGTTAACTGTCTATCCCAGAAGACTGTGTGAGGACGGAGCGAGGGAATGCCCGTCGGCTGCTTCACTGTGACCTTGGATACAGAGAGACTCAATAAGCTTTGCTAATATGGCCGTCGTTCTCATCATCACTACTTAACGAATTAATTAAGAAGATTATTTGAAATTCTTTCACACTGAGGGTGCTGATAGAACCAGGTAATCTAATGTGAGATCTGTCACTACACAGCAATCCAAAACACTTAAACGGGACTGAGAAACCACCGGCCATGGAGAACTGAGTATGTGAGAATATGCTCTAGAAGAAAAGAATAGGGAAACCAAAATCATGCTGCATAAAAGGATGTTTGAAGAAAGATCTAATATTTCTCTTTGAAAATATTTACAATTCAAGACATGAAAATAGTAACTTCTTGGTTTTATTTCCAATGAGAATATTAACTTTCATACAGAGTGAGGTGGCTACTGTTACACAGAGCAAGAAAAAATGCCCCTGTACTCTATCAGGACAGATTACCAAAAGAACTGCAGAGTCACCTAAAAGCAAGGTTGCACCCGGTAGGCCTGGAGGGATGTGAATACTCTTCAGTTCACGGGAGGCAATGGCGGGTGGTTTGCGCAGTCATTCCCAGACGTAGCACCACGTGTGTCTGAGGGGCTACCATAGCTGCTTCAAATGCTCCCTCACCTCTCTCCCTCCCTCTCTCTCTCTCTCTCTGATCATTTACTTGGCTTTATTCATAACTATCACTATTTTTTCCCAATTTGCTACAGGGCACGTGTGCTCACCAGAGAGATGAGCGAGCGAGCGAGAGAGAGACTGAAAAGCAAGCCACTAAGTATGGGACCCGAACCACAGTTGGCCATGTGTGTGTCTAGCACACCAACCACCATGACACCTGCTGGTCCTGCTCACTCCCGACTCTTACCTGAGCTTTCATCCAGGCTCTCTTCTGAGACATGCTCATTCTGGTGGACCCACTCGCCGTTGCATTTGAAGAATATCTGCATGGCTGGCCGTGCTTTGCACCTCAGCGCAATAGGGTTGCTCTTGATGATGTAAGCGTCGTCTGGCTCTTCGATGAAATGAGGCAGTGTGCCCGGGGCCGAGGGGATGGAATCGGGAAGCACTTCCCCACTGTCGGTTCCTGTGGGATTGAAGAGGCCATCAGAACACAGCTTACGCGGACCGCACGTAAATGAAAACACAAGGTGAAAGCCATGCTGGCTCCGAGAATCCGTAATAAAAGAAACTCTGTCATACAGGTGAGGCACGCTTATGAGTTCTGTGTAGACGGACCTTCTGGAAGCTGAGCTAGGGTACTTCCAGCTGAATACACCTACAGTGTTTTGGACACAGGAAAATAATGAGTAGAAGACCCCTCACACTTCAGTTTAGAATCAGGATGTTTTTGTGGAAAGAACTCAGATGAACACCTACAGAGAGAGCCTGAATCTGAGGGTCCACTCTGGTGAGTGATTATCTCGAAAGGTTCTGTGGAAACCCCAAGGTGCCTTTGGACTTTGGATGATGGTGGAGGTAAGTTTTGTTTGCTCACAAATATGTGAAAGATGCTGATCATGATGGAGAGGACTCAGATATATAAGGGACCTCCAAAACATTTCAACCTGTTCACTTTATCTATGAAACTTTGGAGGTTGCCTGATGTCCTCCTTTGGATAATTCCCAATTTACCCCCTTCGGAAGGCATCAAGTTCATCCTGCTGCCCAGAGCTGGACCCCTCCACCATGCAGCCCTGCAGGCCGCACTACCGAGGCTGAGGACTGAAATGAATCTATGAGAGCTCTGAGCTTGCAGTTAGTGGTTAGGCTTACATCGGAGTAGACATGGCTCTCCCCCAACCTTGACAAAACAGCATAAAGAGGAAGAGGCAGGAGTCAAGGCTTTGCTTATTGCTTCTTCACGATATTACCCAAGGACTTAAGACCCAGGAAACCACCACAAAACCAAGGACAGAAAGGTGGGACTGCTGGCCCCCGCCCCGTAGCGCAGATGGTGGCCGCCTGAACTACAGCACTGGGAGCTTGGAGGCTGGTACAGGTTTGGATTTGTAGGTTGGTGTGAAAACACAGCAGCATGTGTACATGTGCTCAGGACCCTGAGGAGTGGAGGGCCAGGGATGGGGTAAAGGCACGACCAGCCTCAGTCAAGGCCTTTCTTTCTGGTGCATGTACTCTCTATCATGAATGAACTGAAATCAAATCTTTTTAAAGACAAGAAGAAAGGAGGATGCCATGAGTGAGCAAAGTGCAGACCAGGAGGGTCAGCGCCTCTCGTCTTCAAAGCCCATTTCCCTGAAAACACAAAGAAAGCAACGATCGCGATATCAAGACCAGCTGTGCCCTGGAGAGGGTTGTCTCTGTGGAGAACAAACCAATCCAGAGGTTAGGTTGAGGACAGCGGCTTGCCGAACCACTGGGAAAACAATCTCACCTGCTAGATCCAGCCCCAGGAGAGAGCCTAGAGAGGGGACACACCTACACCCCCACCTGGCTTCGCAAATGCCCTTGATGCAGCTCTGAACAACACCTCAGGTTACTCAGGCCAGAGTCAACACCCCTTCAGGAAGCTCTGTCAAAGGCACACTGCATTACACAGGGCATCTCCTGCACTATGAACCCTTAGAAGTCGTTCTCAGACACAAAAAATGGTGGGGGCCTTTCAAACTTGGGGGGGGTCAGACTTTGAGTATTTTGTATAAGAAAGACAACAAAAGACACAACTCCTTACCATGGGAATGTACAGCAAGAATAGCTGTTGCAATGGGTTAAACAAAACAATAGCTTAAGTCTCCCAAACAAGACCTTTTCCCCATTAAATACATCTACTTAAGGGAAAAAAATAGGCTCATGTAACAGAGAGGTTAAGATACTGTAAACCTTGAAATGTATTTGCAATGGAAAACTAACTCATGCGTAAGCAACTGAAAGTATCAAAAACCATCATAAAACAAATGCACCAAAAACTAACGGCTAGTTGTTTATATCATAGAAGTACAATAAAGATCCTCAGAAAATATAATGTGTGTATATCACAGGGACGAAGAAGGGTTTCAGGGCAGAATCTAAGGGCTATGTGTGTGTTGTTTAACGTTTTCAATTATATTTACAGTGGACTTCATAAAATATATCGCATATTAATTTATTTGGTTACTGGCTGCTCATGACAATTTCCATCTTCGATAAATACCAGATCCCTGCAGGCTTTTGCAAATCCATGCATTAGAGGAAATGACAAAGCTATTAAAAGATTTTAAATGGGCATCAAACGCTCATGCTCCCACCAGGGGCCTGCGTTCTGTCCAGAGTCATTCACTGCAGCATGAAAGGGTCACCTGATAAGGAGTAACTCCCCAAACCCACAGTGCTGGCCGGAGGGAGAGGGCCGAGACACACGGTTTGAATGATGCATTTTTGCTTGACTCCTAACAGTGCGTGACTGTTTTTGAAGTAACTGTCTGAAAGAGGGGAGGGGACCGGGTCATAAATAATGATCTCTAATAGTGAGACTACATTTATCTGGCATAAATAAAATGCCAAATAAACAAATAAAGGCACTAGATCATAAATCACACTTTAACCTTCCAACTCACAAAACGAAGAGAGATCTAAAAGCAATTAGGTTACCCTACTGACATTTTAATAGATGCCCTTTAGATAGAGTAACAAGCTCAGACTGCATTCGAACGTAGAGCTGAAAAGTAGGCTAGGAAAGGCTGAGGGTGGTGTTCTGGCTCTCCTTAAGACCTGCCTTCGGAACCAATTGATCTGAATGTTCGGAGGAAGAAAGTAGAGCTGGAATCCCACATCACACCTTAACTGTTACTGAGGCCATGGTAACAGCATTCTGCCCTGGAAGAGGGCTGGGACCCTGACAACCAATAGCAGAACAAATGGTTGGTCAGGCAGGTGAAGCTGGAGCATGTGAACTACCTTACCTGCATCCTTCCCACAAATAAGTGAGGTCACTGGAAGCTGCAATACAATACAGCTTTTTTCTTTTCCTTATTTTGTTTTGTACAGTAAGCTATTGGTAGAGGTTTATTTAACACTCCTATCACTTAAGCCTTCCCCCTCCAAGGGTCTCACTGGGTCAGGTTGATTCCTGGTGCAGCTAAGCCCTGCCCTGCAGTTGGCTTCCTTGCAGCAAGAAAGCAGGACTCCCTGCACAGGTGGCCTCTCCAAAAGGAGGTCCCTTCCTGACCCCACAGGACTGTCATCTTCGTACCCACCCCAGTCCATGGACGCCTGTCATGCTGACCCTGCTTAATGGTCTGGAACTGAACTCCTCAGGAGATTTTCAGAGGATTCTTCAAGTGAAAGAGATGGGAAGGAGAGACAGAGGAAGCAGAACCGAAGTACGGACATTCACAGGCTTGAAAACCACTTGTAGACTCTGATCTTTGGAAGGAGTGGGGAGGTGACTTCCTTTTTTTTAACTTGCCAGAGGCTGTGTGTGCTCACAGGAGAGAGAGAGTCAGAGAGAGAGAGAGAGAAAGAGAAAGCACCTCTATAGGAAGACAGTCATGCTGTAACCCCTTCTTCACCGTTTCTCACTTCTTTTGGGATTTTGGGCATGCATGGGCATGTGCCCAGAGTGTTTTCCAAGCTACTAGGTTAAGGACTTGAACCCCCAGTCACCCATGTGGGATCCAGCCACCTTAACTACCATGCCACAGGCTGACCCAAGTTTCTTTAATACATGGTTTTATGGAAGATGGCAGGAATGGATTCTTGGCTTAAAGGCGAATTTACCTGTAATGTCAATACACTTTCTATTTGCTCCCACTCTGTAATTTGAGGAAACACTGCAAGACCTGGGGCTGGAGTCAGCCTGACTGGCGGCTGCCTTCTCCCACAGGGTCAGTGGCCTTCCAGCAGACCTACGGGGCCAGGTGACAATAAACCAGCAGGTGGATCACACACAGAAGCTTCCTGGAGGCTTTTCTTTGTCTGATAAAAGGCACGGGTGTGGTTGGTGCTATCTCCTGTCCATTCTGGCCTTACCTGGGGAAGGGGTCCCAGCACCAACCACGAGACAGGTCCCCACACCTAGACCAGACAAAGCACGACAACTTCTGAACAATCCCTACTTGCTTAAAGCTATAGGGTCATAGTTTCTGTCTTTTATTTTTCTTTTTGCTCCAGAAAACAGCCCTCATTAACATAGCTGAATTTTCCTTCTTAAAGCCAGGCTCTAAGCTTCACTTAGTTAACCCTCGAGGCCACCAGCTTTGAAACTATGTTGGTGGAAAGTGAAGGTCAGAGCTGCCGTGTACTGAGTGATGGGGGTTATGACAAGTGCTGGGCTGTCGGAAAAGTTATACTGTATTTTTTTCTGTGCAACAATGTGTCACGACTTTCCCGACAACCCAGTACAAGGACTAATCCACATGCACTCACAGGTCTGTGGGGGCTTCTGTGCCTCATGCTGCCTTTGTCTTGCTTACGGTCTCACGGCCAGCAATGGTGGAGCTGGAAACTGAGCACATCCTTCTTAGCTCCGTTGGTGGGAGAGAGGCCTGGCTCTGTGAAGTTGCTGAGTGATTTAGCCTGCCTTAGGGCACGAGGGTGTAGTTCGTGACCCTAAAGATGACGATATAGAACGATATAGTGTGTGGGCCCCCCCCTTACAAGAAGTCCATCATCTTGAGCATCACTCAGCATGTCGTCAGCTGGACTGTGACTCCAGGTCAGGGTGGGTGTGTGGAACACGTTCCAGAAAAGGTAGGGGTAAAACAAATATTTAAAGAGCACAGCAAACATGCTGACACCTGTATTCACCTAACTGGGCCAGCTCCCCAAAGTCAGAAAAAAGAAGTCCAAGACTAATTGTCTGAGAATACAATAATGAGAAGGATTGTTTGATGCTTAATTTGGAAACAAATATTTTAAAGGCGAAATATTTAACAACAACAAAATTCCAATTAAATAGAAGGAGACAGTAAGCCTCTGCAAGAAAAAAGGAACCGGGGTCACGAGGTGTGGCCATGAAGCAAAGAGGAAGCAGGGCACAACGAAAGGACGTTTGATTAGAATGAAGTAACCCAGCCCAGCACTGGCTGAGGAACTGAAATCTGAGGTTCCATTTTTCTCATCCACAGTCTGGGTGATTAAAACCCATTAGTGTCCTGTCATGCTAAAATGAGATGACACAGGCCAAAAACTGTACTAAGTGGTTAAACATCACATAGTCCATGTCACTGCAACACCGTTGTCGGCATCTGCTAGGTGTACATGTGTCTCCGGAAGCTCGAGCTTGGAGATTATGTTGGGATGGGTAACTATGAGGGTGAAAATTTAATCTGACTGTGTGTTGGAAGATGGGGCCTTTGAGAGGAGATAAGGATTAAGGTCCTCAGGGTGGGGCCCCCCATCACTGAAGTGTGGGGGGTTACGAAGAGGGAGACTGAGACAGACACGCTGAACAGACACACACACACCTTCTTGATGAACCAACAGGAAGGTCCTTAGCAGATGCAACTCCTGAGCCTTAACCTCCAAACTGTGAACTGAATAACTCTATCCCTGTTTTTGTTTTTATTGTAGGGTGTGTGTGTGTGCAGAAAGGAGACAGAGAAACAGAGGGACAGAGCTAGAAAGGAAGTAACCACCTCCCACTCCCTGAGGGGAGAGAACCATGCTACAACCCGTTCTCCTCCACTTTCCTCTCAGGATTTTGGACACACATACACATGCACCCTGCATGTTTCTCAAGCAGAGGGCTAGGGCTTAAACGGTGCAGCTGGCTATGTGGGATCCAGCTACTTTAACCATCATGCCACTGGCTGGCCCATAAGCCTCTGTTCTTACAGGTGGTTCAGTTTCAGGTACTCACTGCTATTTCCCACAGAGCCAAGCAGAACATGATCATCGCAGGAACCAAGAATTACATAACAATGGACGAGAAGTGTTAATTATGGCTCCTATGCTTTCCATCCCCAAACATATCCTTTGATATTTTAATTCTCTTACTACTATGATGACTTTCAGCTCAGAGCCCTCATGATATGAAACATTCTCATTACATTTCTCCTCTATTCATTACTCCTATGTATGTTGGCAAAATCCTCTGAGGTCACTAATTCTGAAATGCTGTGAAGCCTGTATTCAACAAGCATGCAGTGGATGGTTGCACTGTACTCCAGGCCCGTGGCTCTCCTGCAAATGAAGAGTAACAGTACACAAAGGACTTGCTGTTGCCGGATCCCAAAGTCATCATGTACAACAGGAGATTTCACAGTATTCTAGAGCCCCTCTCACTACAATATTTAAATCCAGTAAGGCAACTTATGGATAGCTCTTCTCTGATATATTATCTCATGGCAGAAATGCAAGTCAGAGCAGAAAGCCATACCAGGGAAACAAAGTTACATAATCTAAAAGACAACACAATAGCACCAGGTTCTCTGCTTTCATTTATGTAAATGGGACTTGTCTCCATATGGTTACTTAATTAGATAGGGGATGCATTGTACCCATTTAATGCAGAACAACAGCCGGAATTTTACATACCAAATATTTAATGCAATTTATGAAACACAGATTCTTTCCCTTCCAATAAAAGTTTTGTTTTGTTTTGTTTTGTTTTTTTAACTCAGAACTTATTCTGCCTGCTTTTCAACCTCTAATAAAAATGGAAATGCTTTATATCACTGCATTTGCATAGTTCACCTCACCTGAGCCAAGCTTACACTGTCAGCCTTACATACAATTTCATCGATTTGATATTTTCATCTTCTTTTCTTAAAGAGACATTTTTTGCTATAGGGTATGTGCGCTCACTGGAGAGACAGAGAGACAGAAAGCGAGAAATCACCCCCAGGGGGTATGGCCACACCACAAGACCTTCTCCTCCTGTCTCCTCTGGGATTTTGAGCATGCACGCACACACACCTGGCATGAATTTCAAGCCTCTGGGTCTGGGGCTCAAACCACAGTTGGCCGTGTGAGAGTCCAGCAACATGACCGTTACATCATCTGGTGGTCCCCTCAATAACTTTTTTGAACAGACACATGCTTATCTGGGAAGATAAGACAGTGTTCTAGGTCCTGGGGATTGGAACGTGAGTAAGACGTGTTACTTTCTTGAAGGAGATCAGACAGAGACAAATAACCACATCACATGATAATAATGATCATAGTATATTAGACACATTAACACCCTTGATTCAGGGAAAAACTAAATAACAAATATATCCTCACAAAAAGGGAAAAGAATTGGATTATAGGAGTTATAAAACTACTCATTTTTAAAATGAAATAAATGATTAATATTTGGCTGAGAGGAATGGATGAGATGCAGTTCATGAATTGTTGACATTTCCCCCAACGACGGATACATTTCTGAATGGATGTGCACCACTGGCTACTGCTCAAATTCATCTGCAAATCTAGTGGGCTTTGGAAAGGTTTTGCTTTCAAAGTGTTAGCGCTTTTCATTTGTAACTGACAGTTTTCAAGAGTGAGGCCATTCATAGTTACGGAAAAATGGTTGTTTAAATGCAATATTGAATGACAGAAAACCAAACAATCAAACACCATTCTCACACATTTCATTCTTAGAAAATTACCTTTCAGGAAGAGTTGTGTGTTTTATGTTGTGCACACTAACACAGCAGGGACTTTCAATCCTTTTATGACAAAGAGAAGAAAGAAAAGGAGGAAAACAACAGTAGAAGGAGCAAATGCTGAATTCCCTCTGAAAGAAGCGCACTTCTAGTGGATAGATGGCAGGTAGCATCTTGAAAACTCAGAATGTGAGCATTTTAGCTGCATTTCTCAAATTTCAAGTATGGGCTGATTTCACTGGAGCATGGTTTCATAGAACTATTTATTTATTTATTTATTTATTAGGTTTTTGCCATAGGGCACGTGCACTTGCCAGAGAGAGACAGATATATAGAGAGAGGAAAAGTGAGAAAGCACCCCCTGGTGGGAGGGCCTCACCACAATCCCTTCTCCTCCATTCCCTTCTCAGGATTTTGGGCATGCACACACATGCACCCAGTGTGAGTGTTAAGCCACTGGGTCTAGGACTAAAACTGCAGTGGACTATGTGGGTATCCAGCCATATAGCCATTACACTGGGCCCAACTCTCTACTTAGAGGTCACCCAGGCCCTTGGTGGGTAAGCAACTGGTCCAAGAATTCAAAAGAACAAGTTTGGGATAAAAACCCTTCTCTATGGTTGGGGCTCTGAAAGCATACCCACAGCAGGGGACTTTGGCATCCTGAGTGTTTTGAACAAAGGAACTGAGAAGACATTAGAAGCTTCCTCAGAATCAAAGTCTTCCAGATCTTCCTTTCTCTCTGCCCACCAAGTGCAGGGAGCGGCTCCCCTAAGAACCAGGGAAGTTTATCCAGAAGGCAAGCCAATTGTTTTGGACTCTTCCTGGCATCTATATTAACTACTGACCATTAACTGCTATGTAGGAAAAACAAAGAAACAAACAAACAAAAGGAGAGCAATGTAACCCTTCCTGGAAAGACACTGTCACAGTATATTCTTTGCTCCTTGGGGGAGGGAGGTCATTTAAATTACAAAGAAAATAATCTACAAGCTAAGTTCTGCCTTTTTTCAGGTCATGCATCCTCTCTAAAATTCATTTATTATTCCTCTAAATTGCCTAAGCACCACTTTTCATTCCCCTGAGAGGGGGACATTTAAGCCTCCATCAGCAGGCCTTCCTTTGAGTCTCAGTTGGAGTTAGGCGGGATAATAACCTTGGTCAGGCAGATACAGATGGGGAAACTCTGGAGCACAAAGGAACTTGAAGGAAGGACAATAGGACTTTCTGTATTCTGACCCAGAACAGCTCCCTGCAGCCTGTAGCAAACAGGAATGAGGAACAGGCAGAAAGAAAATGTAACAGGCCAAAAGGGTCTAAGAGCTGATGAAAGGGGACCCTGGGAGGGAGATGGGCTTTTTCCTCCCCAGGCAATGGCTCCTCTGTCTGTGGCATGTACTCTGTCTCCCTCAGTGAAGCGTGTGCTAGGCCTTCGTCCTTCAATTCTTTGCGGGGACAGGGAGACATGCACCTCAATTTTGTCAACCGAACACTGTGTGTGCCTCTAACTTCTGTTTATACACACTCATAAACCCACTGTAGCTTTTCTCCTGCTAGGCTCTCTACCATCAGTTCATGTCAGGGAACTCTGGAGGGCAGAAGTGAAATCTTTCTTTACCCTGTATGAGGCATCTAGATCCGTATTTCCCCAGCATCCAGTGCTGCACTTGTTTCAGTAAGGCATGGGATATTACAGGTACAAAGTTCTGTGAAATCCTACCCTGAAAACGATCTTATGAAGTCTCTTTTATGATGAGCTTGTAAATTGTAAATATTCTAGTATAACCAAAATTATAGTCTAACATTTAATATTATTTTGTATCGAAAGTTATAGCTTATTATAAGATACTAAATCACAGAAAAGCACAAATAATGTATATATTTACAGAATATTGTTATCCATTGTCACCAAATTCTCAAAGAATAATTAATAACATTAACAACTTGATGCATTTCATTCTAGTATCTTTTTTCAGAGGTATATTCAATATTTTGAATTTGTGTACATAGAATATAAATATACCTGTCATATGTTTTCTCATTTAGTCATGGTGTTAACTTCTTTTAAAGTATGCTTTTTATAAAAAGGACTCTTAAAAAATAAAAAATTTAAAAAATTTAAAAAAAAAAGGGAACCAGCAGTTAGCATAATGGCTATGTCGCTGGACTCCCACGTAATCGACCGCGGTTTGCATCCAGGACCCGGTGGCTTAAAACTTACGCCAGGTGCGTGTGCGTGCGTGCTCAAGATCCCGAGAGGAGAGTGGAGGAGAAGGGATTGTGGCATGACCATCCCCTCTGGGGGGTGATTTCTCGCTTTCTGTTTCTATGTCTCTCTCTGTCTGTCTGGTGAGCGCACGCGCCCTATAGTGAAAACCTCTCCTAAATAAATAAATAAATAAGACATTTTTTGCCTTAAATGCCTGCACTAACTGGAGAAAGAGACAGACAGAGACAGTGAGAAGGAAAGTGCAAAATCACCTCCAAATGGGGATGGGGCTCAAACTGCAGTTGGCCATGTGGGAGTCCAGTGGCATAACTGCTGGCCCTTCTTAAACGATTCTTAAAGATAATGTAAAAGTAGGTGTGTCAGTGTGGATGTACCTATTTCCTTACTAACATCTATTTATGTCCAGAGTTTAGCTTCACGTTGATGTTGTAATTCTCTGCTTACTGTGTGTCTCGGTTATACCCTGTTTATATTTGTTCAGTTCTCTCTCTGAAGCTTCAAATCTGTACATTAAATTCCCTCTAGAAGTAGTCACCTGAATGTCCTAAAGACTCCTCAAACATTTTGTACTTGGGACAGAACTTACTGCCTGGCCCCTCAGACTTGTCCTTTGGCCAAAGTTTTACAACTCAAAGAACAGTGCTAGCATTTATTGAGTTTCCAAGGCTAGACCCTTAGTATCACCCTTTCCCCCTCCTCAGCACCTGCATCCAATTCATCACTTAATTCTCTTGTTTCTCTCTCCTCAATGTTTTAAAATCAGCAATTACTTTTTAGCCTTATTCCTGCTACACTGGTCCTGGTTAGTCCTTCCATAACTAATAAGCGAAAATACCTGAGTCTACACCATTTAAAGGAATAGAGATTTGCTCACTGCAAGGTTTGAAGGTCTGAGGTCCAGGGGCCAACATCTGGTGGAAAGGCAGAGGTGATGCAGGCTAGGAAGTTAGGAAAATAGGGAGTCGACATGGAATGCCAACTGAGACTCAGCCCAGAACAGTCAGCCCACTCCAACATGACAGAAACATAACTTTCCTTCCTGCCCTCTGTCCCTCAGCCCATACCTATACTGTACTTTCGAGGCATACACACAAAACAATTAAGAGGTGAGAACAACTCCTAGAATTTATTTATTTATTTATTTATTTTTTAGAGAAATTTTTGGTATAGGGCACATGTGCTCACTGGAGAGACAGAGAAAGACAAAGAGACAGAAAGTGAGAAATCACCCCCTAGGAGAATGGCCACGCCCCAACCCCTTCTCCTCCATTCTCCTCTTGAATCTTGGGCATGTATACCTAAGTTGGAATTTTAAGTGCTAGGATCAATGGAAATTATGGGTCAATGAGCTTAAACGGATG